GTGGCTGTCCTCAACGGGAAGAAGGCTACCTTCAGGAAGAGAGACGAGGAGGTGAAACACTGTGTGAGGGAAGCTAAGAACAGCTACAGGAGAAAGGTGGAGCAGAAACTAAAGGAGAACTCTTTGAGGGAGGTCTGGAAATATGTGAAAACCATCACAGGCCACGACACAAAGACCAGAGACGTACAATGGAGAAGGTGAACAAACTGAACCACTTCTAAAACTGGTTTAACCAAACCAACCCCCCTCACCCTCACTGCAGCCGCCTCTCCTTCCCTCAACACACCTCTCCCCAGACATCACAGCAGCCCCCGCATCCTCCACCCCCACCCCACACACCTTCCTCCATACATCACTGGTTAGAGGACAGCTGAGGAAGCTTCACCTGGGGAATGCAGCAGGCCTGGACAAAGTGTGTTCCCTGCTACTGAAGACCGGCGCTGCTGAACTGAGTAACTCACTACAACAAAACCTCAACCTTAGTCTGCAAGTAGAAAGAGTACCCACCCTCTGGAAGACATCCTTAATCATTCCGGTTCCTTTGAAGAACCGACCCAGCTAGCTGAATGACTTCCGACCTGTGGCACTCACTTCACAGCTGATGACGATGCTGGAGTGGTTCTTCCTCAGCCTCCTCAGACCCCAGGTACAACACGACCAAGACAGTCTGCAGTTTGCGTACCAGGAAGGTGTTGGTGTGGAGGATGCCATCCTTCACCTGCTACATCAAGCCCATTCACATCTGGATGATGTGGCACAGTGAGGAATCTCTTCCTGGACTTCTCCAGCCCCTTCAGTATTATCCAGCCTCTTATGCTTCAGAACAAACCAACAGGATGCAAGTGGATCTGATCATTTGGATCTGCAGCTACCTCACTGATAGGCTGTTAAAACTGAAGCACACCATGTATGGCATTGATCAGCATCGCCGGAGCACCCCAGGGCACTGTGCTGGCCCCACTTCTCTTTACCATGTACACCTCAGAATTCTGATACAAGTCTGAACTGTGTCACATCCAGAAGTTCACAGATGACAGCCATTGTTAGATGGACTGGACAAACTGATCAGGCGGGCTGGCTCTGTGGTCGGTTTGAAGCTGGACTCCATGGTGATGGTGGCAGAGAAGAGAACTCTGGATTAACTGCTGGACATTATGGATCACCCACTGCACGCCGTCGTCAGCACCCAGAGGAGCCTGTTCAGTGACAGACTGCTCCTTCTCATGTGCAGGACTAACAGACTGAAAAACTTATTTGTCCTTCACGACTGTACAACTCCTCACTGGAGGGAGGAGAAAAGAGGATGGGAAGGAGCAGCCACCACCACCACCTTAAAATAACCAGTAACTGGTTATATTGTAAAGTGTTATTTACTGGTAAATACTGTATGTATGCATTTATATTATTTTATTATTTATTTTACATTGCATTTGTGCTTTCTAATGCTCCACTTTTTCGTTAATCTACTACACCTGTACAATGCTGCTGGAATTTTAATTTTCCTGTAGGAATCTTCCCAAGAGATCAATAAAGTTTTATCTAATCTAAATTAGCCGTAGAGCTAACGGGAAAGCTGACTCTTCACTCCATTCTCCTCTGTCAACATGCTCCGGTTCAAATTAAAGGGCTGATAATATTCAGAATTAACATTCAAGCTGAATGGAGCTTGCGCCAGAGCAACCTGTCTGTCATTTACCCAGAATGCATTTCATTGTAATTAAAATGACAATGTCCATAAGTCATTAATTTAACTAAACAGCCTAAAGTAATTTTACTGTCTTGTTTTGTAGCGGAAGTAATTGTTTATCAAAGGTCTATGGATCCAACTAGTTTGAGATCTCTAAGGTTCAGTTTAGTCCAGATAACACAACTTAAACAAAACTTTTAGCCTATCCTTATCTAAAAAGTTTTAGATGTGCTTGTCCAAGAGGCTTAACTTAAACTTCAATACTTACATTTAAAGTTTCACTGATAAAGTGCAGGTTTTCATCAGCTTTTTGGGAACTGCAGCCATTCTCCAGCTGAGAAGGGTCTTGCTCTTCTGTCAACTTTCATGCAGCCCGAACCGCAACGTGTTGGTTTTAGCTACAATCTTGGAATTCTTTGGTCTGTCCAACTTCACCTGTTCATCACGTATGAAAGGTTGAATGATTTTATGACTAAATAAGAGACTTCTTGTTTGCTTTTTCTTTGGTTTCAGGTGCCTTTGCAAAGGTAAAGGAAAGCCAGCGGATGAGCGACGAAGGGAAGATGGACCAGGACGAAACCGATGGCATCAGGAAGCGCTGTCGGACTGTGGGCTTCGCCCTCCAAGCAGAAATGAGCCACTTCCATCAGCAGCGAGAGGTGGACTTCAAAGACATGATGCAGGCGTACCTCAGGGAGCAGATAGCCTTTTACCAACGGATTGTCCAGCAACTGGAGCGCACCCTGCGCATGTACGACAGCTTTTAAACACGGTCCTCTGGGTCAGAATGCTACAAAGCACACTACAGAAAACATGAATAACCTTTGACTCTTTCGTCTCGGTGGTTTATGATGAAAAACCAGAAGAAAACCACAGTTACTGGAAAGATGTGCAAACGTCAGGCTTTTATAAAATTTGATGGCTTCAGAGTTGCCTTTTTATCCACCTACTGTATGTTTTATATCTGGAAAACGCACCACGCAGACAGTGTTGCAGCATATTTGACCTAATTTATGGTTTTTGTAAGAGAAGCAAGCGTCATAATGAATCTATAGCGTTTCACATTAAAGCCATAAAATGGGTTCTGTTCGGTAAGGGTCCCCTTTTTTTTTCAAACAACATGCACTTTGACTTCTTCAGGGATTGATTCGAGTTATGTTCAGTGTTTAACAGATTTAAAAAACAGCACCTAATAAACTTTGCACAGGTTTTTCCTCATTCCTCCAGCCGGGCACTGAAGTGGAAAGTTACTGGTCTTTCTGCGAGGACGTCCAGCTCAGGCGTCCACTTCCAGCTTCATGCAGGTTCCTGCACATCGTTCCTGACGTCCTCACTCTGCTAATTCAGCCTCTTGGGTCCGTTTTCACGGAGTGCGTGCCTTTCATGATATGTGGTGTTTGTATGGGTTTCGGTGTACGGTTTTGTGTTTCACCGACGTCTTTCTGGAAAGAGAAGTTTCGGGACAAGTTTGCACATGTTTTTATGATGGTCATGGTCTGAGGGTGTGTTTTTAATGCCTGGCTGAAAATATCTTTTTTCTTTTTCACGTTAAGAAAAAAGTTTGTCTTCAAAAGTAACAGGACATTTCAGAATACGACATTAAAAGGGCTTCAGACGGCCATTTTTCTGTAAATACATTTTTTTTTTAATGTGTCGTCAGCTGCTGGATGATAAAAAAAGATGCTGCACTCTTTAAAGAAATCACTTCTTTTTTTTTTTTTTACTTTGCAGTAACACATTTGTGCATATGAAAGCGCAGCTTTTTTTACTCGACATATTTTTGTTCAGTTTATGCAACATATCTGAGTAGTGGCTGTCGGTTCACG